CGAAAAAGGAAGAAAAACCAAAACAGCAATCCAAGCTTCAAAATTGCTGGTTCCTAAACATCCCCGTACTGTAGCCTGTTTATTGATGGACGGCGCCCCGTTTCATGCATCACGCAGCGTCAGGTATAAACAGGGGTTAACTATATTAAGTATAGTGCAATATGCAGATGTGAACATTGACGGAGTTATCAGGTGGTTGCATCAATTCCTGCTCTTCAAGCTGTAGGCAGCGCTATCTGTTCCACCACTCTGCCTCTCCCTTCCTACATCTTCCGATCCTCGTACTTTTCCTGTAGGAATCCGCGTCATGCGGAAATAACCAACCAAGCTGAGAGATCGACCTATTTTATTTTGAATGTTGCTCTTCTGTTTGCCCCTTTTCACCCCATGATTACTTTTCGCCTAGCATGGCGCGTGCAATCATAGAGGAAGCATCGACAACTAGGTTTCATAACAACTCAGTACAAACACAGACGTAAGTCAAGTGAATCTATAGAGAATCACTATGTCCGAGGTATTTCGAAGACGAACGCTGTGAGTGCCGTATTTCAAAAAATTGAAATCACAAAAAAACTTCGGACGAGCTCAACGCCGCCCATCTACATCTACTGCTATCCATTCATTCATGTCTCTTTTCAGTTTGACGATTTTTCGGAACTACATTGATTTAATTCCGTTATTTGAAACCACCTTGTGTGTGGGCGATTCAATCGTAGGATATGAATCACGAATCCCGTAGGAATGTGATTCCTTTTTCTTTCCATAATTCAAAAACTTTTCATTTCCTGCCTATGTTGGTGCCTTCCCCACTGTTCCACTGTGCCTGATATTCTGTATAGCTAATTCAAAAATCCAAAAAATATCCAAAAATATGACCTACACGGTACGAGCCTTGCGCTATCTGGCTTGGAACACTGCGGAATTTAGAGGTGACGCTTGTTGGCTCACTGATGTCTAGTACTCCGCTCTTATCAGTTATCTAGCCCCACCAGCAACTTATGGACAATGGATGGTTAAGCCAAGGTCCATACAGAATCGCATTATCCATTCCCGCGCGCAAAGCTGCCTGCCGGATGAGCGGCGTGCCCTCACTAACCCACGACTGAATTGATCTCCAATCAGGGTCAACCCTATCGTTGGTACTTTTTGGAAATTTTTTCACGACCCCCCCCCTTCATGGGCGATTTGATACGACCTCCCTGTATTGTGTATGTGGCATAAGAATAAAAATTTCTTTTGGATGATATGCACACAAAGGGCCACGTGAAACATACGGACACATTCAATATATGGAGTTATTTAAGCGGAAAGTACAGTACTCGCCGTTTGAAATCGAAAATTCACGCGAATAACGCGAATCCTCGTTAATTTCGTGAATTCGTTATAACTCGGTTCAAAATTGAGCTTTCGAGAATCCGAAGATATCTTTGAATTCAGCTCGTCGGACACTATAAGAATGTGCTTTGATACTTTGGAAAAGCTCCATATAGGATTGCGCCATGCACTCGATTTTCATCTCAAAAAGTAGTTGCTCGCATGTGATGTGTATATAATCCCGCTTATGCGGGCTGACCGCTACACACAGAGAAGGGCCTCAAAACTTACCCCAGAATGCGCCACGTAGCGAACAATTTCTTCACTGTCGTAGACTACGGTCACTTGTCTGTAGGAATTATGTGGAAAACTCGGTCGCAAGTGAGCGTTCCTTCCGTGGTGTGGCCCCAAACATGCCTCCTCGTCATGCCCTTGTGGAAAGTTCAGATTTTTTGCATTTCCAGATGAACTCGCAGACCTGAAATGTGCCCCGTTAGCTTCCCCGTGAAAAATGCTATCGAATGATATGCATTACTTCCCCCAGTTGAAACTTTGGTTTTTCACCGTTTTCAGCCTTCCCCTATTGCCGGATTGGGCACTATCCCACGATTACTGCCCCAAAATCTCAAAGTTTCATTTTTCGTCGAAACTTTGCCTATTGGTCAGATGAGTACTTGATTGTAGCCGTCCAAGATTAGTTAACTTTATTAGGCCAACGTTTCTTCGCCTTCGTCAGAGCCTGAAAAAGTCAAGAACAAATATGACTTGCCCTCTCAAACGCCTCCACAATACTGAAGACTATTTCCATATCTTAGTAAACCACCTAACGGTATCGATCGATAAAGTTATGCTACTAGGCCTACCTTAATGAACGCCGCCGTGACGCGAGGGCGACTACCCTCGAAGGACTAGGTTGAGCTTTAACTGAGCATCACCACCTCGACCCTCTCGACCTCGACCTCGACCTCGACCTCATGTAGATCAAAACCCGCAGAGGTCGGAGAAGGGCGCGAGTTCACGGGTAACGGCTAAACACTCCTCTTTTCTATTGATTTTAGGGTCTCTTACCGAAATCCAAAACGCCTCTAGGGTTTTTCGCGCCGCGATTTCAGGCTCATGCGCTAGAATGGAGACTGTTATCCCGAATTCAGCATTCCCATGGTATTGCATGCGGTGAACCCCGAGCGGCGTCTGAATTTGTGATCTTCGCAACCCGTCCAAGTGCTCCTTGACCCGTACTCGCAGAGGACGGCCTGTTTCCCCTATGTACTCGCTATCGCAGGCTAAGCAACGTATTGAATAGATCACCCCTGCCCTCATGCAATCACCTGGGTTGCCACCTGGGCAAACCACGCAGCCAGGGGTTTCGCATAGGTAGTCGTAAAGCCTGTTGCGGACCAGAAGACGTTTCAAGTTATTGGGAGGTATCTCTACAAGCCTGACATCCTCCTGCAAACCACACTTGCTCGAACTGCCCGACTCACTTCGTCTGAAATGAACGGCAAGCAGAAGGGAACTTTGTTAGAGGATGTTTCACTTGAAATTCTGCTTTGTTCGAAATACCCCCTACGTATTGATTGCAACCCAGGGTATCCATTCGATACCGCAATGCTCCGAGCCATATTGAGCGATTCTCTTCTCAATGCGTTGTTGGATGAAACCCTGCTGGCAGTCCTGTACATGTTGTTAACTACCGCCCGCTTTGTTGTTGTAGGATGTGCGGAGCGATAGTGTACCAGAATGTTTTTGTTACTAGGCTTCCGATACCATTTAGTTTCAATGGTATCTCTCCTTAGTTGGATTTGCACATTGAGAAATGGGAGCCAGTTCTCTACAGGATTTTCTCTTGTAAACTTGATATTTATCGACTGCTCATTTAGGAGATCGAAACACATGTTGATTTCGTCTTGCGTGTGACATATAATGAGACAGTCATCAATATAGCGACAATAAAGAACTGGTCTGCAATCCAACACGGGTTTTTCGATTCTGGACATAAAGACTATGGCCAAAACAGGGGCGAGCCGTTGGCCCATGGCCAGACCTCTCAACTGTCTGTAATAATCACCCGACCACCTGAAGATGGAAGCATTTTTTTCCTGGTGGGTTGAACACTTCCTCCAAGATGGACGGCATCAATTTTGTAGGACCGAAAAGTTGAGGGTGGCGCGGTGCTCACATATACATTCGATACGTGGCTCGCATCTGCGGCATCATTTGATAGCGTTGGTCGTCATAAGTGATGTTCAATGAGTGATGTGGTTATCGAGTGATTTTCAAATTGAATTACGTTAAACGTCAAACCTTCTCTCAGGTCGATGTTGGTTAACTTATCGAGAAGCATACCCGTATTGGTCAGGTGGGCGGGGATGTACTGAAGCAATTGACCCAGAATTAAATTAAGGAACCACGAAATTTTATCAGTGGGCCCTCCGATGTTGCTTATAATGGGTCTGACTTTCATGCCGCACTACTCTATAAACGGACGTTGCAAACAGCCGGAATTTGGTGTCTACGATGGGTTCACTTGCCTGCGGCTTCGGCTTGTGTAGTCATATTTGCGAAACGGTGAAAATACGTTCTAAGGAAGATATTTTAATAATTCTGAATCGAGATTTCTCCAGAAATCAAGTATCAAGGTTTTTCGTTATGGGGAAACTATTGGTAATAGCGGCATTTTCCAAAAATGCACAGCAACTTTGGAATAGCAAAAAATTAGGGTGGACCTATATTTATGAAACGCAGTGTATATATATATATATATATATATATACAGGGGGGGCCAAAAAAAAAGACATTTTGCCTATGTCGGACTTCGGCTCTTTTTTCTTCGCAGAGATTGCTGTCGTTGACGGGAGTTCCTCAGCAGAGTATTCCCTAAGTGTTCCCTCTATAAGTGAACGCAGGCTCTCCTTCACTGCCCTCACCGTCTTCAGAATATGACGTCATCTGTCACCGTCGTCAGGCTCAAGGAGGTCTACCGTAAGAGCTTCAGCCTGAAGCTCTTACGCAATTTCGTGAATCGATTTAATGTTGGATAGTTTTCTAGAGGCATTAGCTACCACTGTGCAAATCCCCTCGGAACTAGCTTTCCAGTAAGGGTCGTTATGGTACACGATCCTTCGAAGACCCCATTGAGCTCGACCAGTGCACCATGTTTCCAGGGCAAATTCTTCTGATGCCGTCCACGTAGGTGGCCACCATGAAGATTTTCTTATAGAATGGAATGCGCTCTTTAATAATAAGTTGGAACCATTCGGTCTGAATTGAGCAAAATGTGCTTAAATCCATCTGGAAGTGGAGGCAAAATGTCTTTTTTTTGGCCCCCCCTGTATATATATATATATATATATATAATATATTATATATATATATATATATATATACTATGTACCACATCTTCACAATAATCGTGGGGAAGAAGCTATAGTCTTTCGGCAGTATTTTGCCTGTTCACTGATTCATATTTCTGACACCACTATTCGATAATAAGCTGTAGAAACTTGAAGTTTGATTATTTTCCCAAGAGAAAGCTCCCTTTTCGTTTTCCTATCCGTGGCCTCAATGTGGCGTGGGAGTGGCAACGGCCTTTGGACGGCTAACGCGGAAGGTGCCTTCAGAGGATAGAAGAAGCAGAACTTCACTCGGGAGGATAGCCAATTTCAAATTCTGCACAATTATGATCAATGGACTTTTCAAGTATCCCGATCAATGCTAGGTCACCCACCGTAATGGGTCAAGCTAGGACGTCCACCGTAATGGACAAACAAGCTAGGAAGTCCTCCGTAAAGGACAAACGTAAGACCATCAGGATTGCCACCCTCAACGTTGGTACTCTGACTGGCCGAGCTGCCGAAGTGGCAGAAATGCTCAGAGAAAGAAACATCGACATCTGCGCATTACAGGAAACAAAATGGACCGGCGCCAACGAAAAGAATTGGTGGATACAGTTTGTATTATAAAGGAGAGCGATCGAAAGTCAATGGTGTCGCCATCGCCGTTTCACAGAGGTTAGAACACACCGTCAAGGATATACAAAGGATTTCTGACCGCATCATTTATGTGGCTATGATCTTCGGCAAGAGAATCACACACTTTGTCTGTGCTTACGCCCCGCAAGCAAGCCTACCCAGTGCCGTCAAAGATCAGTTCTGGGAACAACTTGCCGATGTAACTTCCACGCTTCCAGCCGACGGAAACCTGTACATCATGGGAGATCTCAACGGGCATATCGGCACTGATAACGATCAGTACGAGGACACACAAGGGCGATTTGCATATGGTGTAAAGAACGAAGATGGAACACGAATTTTAGAATATGCAAAGTCGATGGATTTAGTCGTTGCCAACTCACTCTTCCAAAAGAAGGAATCACACCTCATCACATATTACGGTGGAGAGCACAAGGCACAGATTGACTACATCCTGGCAAAAAGGAATCATCGAAGCGATGTCCTCGACTGTAAAGTAATCCCATCGATAAGCGTTAGCAGCCAACATCGTCCCGTTGTCGCCACGATCAGAATGCCAAGAGACTTACCTGCCTTCATGCAGCCAAGAATCAGTAAAAAGCTTCTGAGGTGGAACAAGATCAAAGACCTTGGACGAACTGAAAGAAATTACCTATCGATGAAGATTCAGCAAGCCAGGTCTGATGACATTGAGCATGACTGGAAACGACTCGTTCGAGAAATCCGAAACAATGCGAGTAAAATCGGCTATAAGAAGGAAATAGGACGTGCACCGGATCGGTCTGCTTGGTTTTGGAACAACGATGTAGCAGTTTCCATTGAAACTAAGAAGAAGGCGTATAAAACTTGGCACCTCAATCCTACAGATGAGAATAGAGTAAAATATTGTGAAGCCAAGCGGGAAGCCAAACGGACAATAAGTAAAGCGATAAAAGAAAAAACGGATGTGCTCATTGCGGGACTTAACACCAATGAAGGCGAAAAGCAGATTTACAGTCTTGCCAAGAGACGCTTCAGAGCAACACAAGACTTCACTACGACTACAACGTTCATCAAGGATAGTGATGGAGTCCTCCTGTACGATTTTAACAAAATCAAAAATCGGTGGCAAGAATATTTCCAAGAGATCTGTAACGTAGAGTTTCCGCATCCACCGCCTCCAAAAGAGCCGCAGATCCACGGACCCATCCCACGAATAAGTGAGAATGAAGTCAAAGAAGCCGTCAAAAAGATGAAGAACATGAAAGCCACTGGGCCAGACGACATTCCTGTAGAGGTCTGGAGACAATTTGGAGGCTATTCCTTTTTGACGGAACTCTTCAACAACTGTATAGAAAAAGGTAATTCCGAAAGATTGGTCAAAAAGCATCACAGTGCCCATTTATAAGAAGAAAGGAGACATTGCTAATTGCTCCAGTTACCGTCCTATTCGTCTAATGTGTCACACTTTGAAGATCTTCGAACGAATTCTAGACACCAGACTAAGGGAGATAGTCAACATAAGTCGGATGCAGTGTGGATTTCGACCTGAGCACAGCACTACCGATGCCATTCATGTTGCCCGACGGATGATGGAGAAAGCAAAAAGGAATGGAATAAGCCGCTCCACATGGCCTTTTTAGACCTGGAGAAGGCCTTCGACAGAGTGCCACGACAACTCATTTGGGAAGCCCTCAGATATCAACAAGTACCTGAAGCACTTGTCAAAGCTGTACAGCTGACCTACCTCAACTCCACCACTGCCGTTCGCACACCAGTAGGAGACACCCCACAGTTTCCGGTAACCGTTGGAGTCCATCAAGGATCAGCCCTTTCACCACTACTTTTCATCCTTTGCATGGACTACGCCACGAGAAACATCCGGAAGGAGCCGCCTCTGACACTGGGCTACGCTGACGATGTGCTGCTTATGGATCGATCAAAGAGAAAGTTAGAAAAACGTGTCAACCGCTGGAAGAAACAACTCGATGATCACGGACTCAAGCTCAACATTAACAAGACGGAATATATGAGCACGGTGGTCACAGAATCGTCAATTGTTGTAGCTGGAACTCCCCTACCAAAGACGGCTAAATTCTCATACCTCGGATCCATGCTCTCTGCGGACACTGACACGAAAGCCGACACGACTGCCAGAATCAATGCAGCATGGAACAAATGGCGAACGGTCACCTGTATCCTTTGTGACAAGAAAATGCCAATACGCCTAAAGTCCAAAATATACACCTCAGTCGTGAGGCCGGTAGCTGTTTATGGAGCAGAAACGAAACAGATGACGGCTGACGAAGCAAGAGCCTATGGATCCATGGAGATGAAAATGTTGCGATGGTGCCTGGGACACACGCGTCTAGACCGCATTCGGAATGAACACATACGAGACAAAATCAAAGTTCGACCTATCGCCAACACCCTTGCTGCCTCACGCCTCCGCTGGTACGGTCATGTCCTACGAAGACCCCCTGATGCTGTGTCCAAGTCGGTAGACAACATAGTGTTCGTCGGTACACGTCCAAGAGGCCGACCCAGAAAGCGATGGCTAGACAACCTGAAATACGACATGAATGCTGCGGACCTGTCTGCAGCCGATGCATGGAACCGGGATCGCTGGAAAACATTGGTGGAAAAAGCGTACCCGACAAGAGTTGGACAACAACGCTAAGAAGAAGAAGAAGAAGAAGTCTCCTTTTCAACAGTTCCGCAATGCCTTTCGTTTGGAACAAAACCACCGGTCTTCGTCTGCTCTTCTGCAAAACCTATGGTGCCCCATCATTGCAGAACATTCACCATGATAGCTGCTCTGATCACAAGTAGCATAGACGAATTGGGGTTATTTCTTGCACGAGAAAATATCTTTATCTAGTGTTACTGATTTTGTTTGGCGAAGTTGTGGTAATTTGACCTACCTGTTGCCACGAATAAAAGGTAGAAGGCGTTTTTGAATACACTCTTCTTGGATGTAACGATAGTTAGTAAAACAAGTAGGTAGGAGAATGCAATCGAAGCTTCCAACACTGTCTGTGGTATGTTTAAAACCATTTCCTAAGCACAAAAAATTTAGAAAGACGTCTAGAATGCACTGATAAACTGTAGTTAAGAGTCGCAATAGAAAAATTTAAAATTTTTTGAGGGATAATGGATGTTGTTTCGAGCGCTCCACCACGCTTTGGGAGTGAGCAGCTGTCAAAGTCCCTATTGTTGCCTCGGGCAAAGTTATACGAGGAAGAGAATACATGTAAAAAGTGCAAATGAACTATGTAAAAGGGTAAATGGTGTGAACGGCAAGTGAATTGAATAGTGAGGGTATGTTTATAAAAAAGCGCAGCCTCTCGATGGGCCTACAGATAAAGAGGTCTGCGCACAAAGAGTCTCGCGCATCGATTGAATGAATTCAACCGACTTGTAAGCTGAGACAAAATTTGGTGAATAACGACGTAAAGTCGTTATACCCCCTCTGGTTATAATTATAGCGAGCGACGCCCGCTAATGAGTCAGCCTCAGGTAATTTGATAAATTTCATGAGAATGAAGCTGAAAATTCAGAGAAACTCAATAGTCCTCTATACCGTTGAATTCTTCGTGAGCAGAGCTATCCAGTGGTATAAATTTCGAATGACCTGGTCCATTTGTTCACGAGTTATGGCGAGGCGACGGTTGCGACGGACTGACTGCGTCGCATTCCGTCGATTGAACAAAAATTAGTAGCGGTATTGTACTATCCCGCTTTGGAAATTGAGAGCTGATAGCCGTATGGCAGGTCAACAATTGAGGGCGGAGTGATTTTGGGGCGTGGCGATTTCTTATGGTTGCGCAAATTCCTCGCGTTGCGAAAACGGTACCATTTGCTTCGTTGCCCTTGTCACCGCTTGTAGTAGGAGCGACTACGATAAATAGGGCGCACATCGAGGAAGTATGTGCGCCACACGAAGCAGTAGCTCAGCATCCAATGAAGCAAGGCGTAGCACACTACGCTAGCGCTCCGACCAAAAGCGTCTCACCCACCAGTTCAGTTGATAATTTGAGCGAGCTACGTCCCTAGAAGCGCCACAGCTGGAACAACTCTATTTGAGCATGAAGTGTCATGGTACCACCGAACGCCTTGTGGTTAGCCGTAAGTACGTCCTCCATCCTAGCCGCTGCCCGTCCGCAAGCGAAATCAACCTCCACATAAAGAGTCTTGTTTTGCATTTTATTGACGAATTTCTCTGCATTTTCCTCCATTGGCGTACCATTGGGCACCCCACGACCTTTCTTAACCTCTACTTAAAGCCACGAGTCAGGATTAGGCAACCAGCAGAAGCTCTTCCTAGAATGCGATAGTGAGCTTCCCAATCAGTGAGGGCGCGACACTGCCGCGACCTCAAAAGTGCGCGGCAATGGCGCTAAGGCCTTGCCCGCCGCGCTGCCCGCGCTGCCAGCGTAATCCACCACGGCATACGTGGTCTCTGCGTCTCTCGCGTATGACGTACTATCTCGCGTTCTCCCTCTCCTCGCAGCGCTGTGTCTCTCCGTCGTACTACGGCCGGCCTCCTAAGGGAAATTTAGTGTTTTCTATGGTGCTTTTTGCTTTTTCTCCTCACTAATGTTCCTCATTGCACCCCTTGCCTAATGTTTGAATAAAATAACGCATCGATTCAATCCCGACTCGTGCCTTTAACTTATCGTAATCCTGCCTTCAGGTATTTCATGGGATTTTTGAATATCGAGGCAGTGTGCGCGCAAAAGGCTGTGATAAAAAACAGTAATACCCCAACAGTGATGAAGAAGGGTCTTCCAACAACCCTTTCTTAAGCTATACAGGAGTGGCCAGAAAAAAAAGACACTTGACTCTACATTTCAGACAGCATTGATCACACTTCGCTAAAACAAATCAGCTGCTTCCAACTTAGTTTTCAAGAGCACATCCCAATCCACCGATAATCTTATTAGGTCGTGAAGAAAGTTCTTGCGCTTTTCGACCTTGATTTTCAAATGCCTGTA